AACGATCAGTTAACGAAAGTTCGGATTGCGAACAAATTTTCGTATAACGTACACAAGTTCGAATAACGAACACCTTAGTGAAGATTTACTTTACTAATACAAGATCATCAAGAATTTAAGAAATAGCTTAAGATTTGTATTAGTAAATTAAAGGGGTCACTAAGGTGTTAATTATTCGAACTTGCGTACGTTATCGAAAATTTGTTCTCAATGCGAACTGTTTGTTAACTGATCGTTAATTTAAGAAACAGCTGAAGATTTGTATTAGTAAAGTAAATCGATTACTAAAGTGTTCGTTATTCGAACTTGTGTACGTTATAAGAAAATTTGTTCGCAATCCGAACTGTTCGTTAACCAATCAACTACTGTAGATTATTAAATACTTATCTCAAATAAAATAAATTAGTTTACTTATTTGATGAAGTTAGCAAACAAAGTAATCTACAAATTTATTATTAAGAATCTGTTAATAATTCTAACATTTTCTTAAATATTAATTCTTCTTGTCGTATTTCAGATGGCCGCAGCAGTTTGGTGGTATTTCTTCTGCAAATTAACGGAGCTCTTAGATACGGTACAAAAAACTCTTCATTTTTAATAGCAAACTTCCAAATTTTATACAATATGTATATAGTAAAACTAATTTACTAAAAAATTTCAGGTGTTTTTCATACTCAGGAAAAAAACAAACCAGGTTTCCTATTTACATCTGTACCATCACACGTTGATGCCGATTTGCGCTTGGATTGGAGCTAAATTCTTACCAGGTATATATATATTTACATAATAATTTTTTAAAGATCAAATTTTATTGCTCCAGTAATATTTTTATGTTTAATTTCTATGATTTATGATGATTTAATGATCATTGATTTACTGACTAATTATATAAAAGATTTTCAAATTTGAAGGCTGATTATACAAGATCTTAGATTATGCTCATTGGAAAGGCTATAGCTTTTCTTTCATTGATTCAATTTGACAGTTTATAACTGGAAAATATCGTAAATTTGACAGTAAGATCTTTAGAAACATCACATATTTCTTTTTAATTTGTATGATTTATGATCATTAAATTGTTGACTAATTACATAAAGAATATATCAATTTTCAAGGTAGATTACAGAAGATTCATACTTACCACAAATGTTAAAATATTCTCATTGGAAATATATATAGTTTTTTTTTCATTTGTTTATTTAATATCGTAATTAGCATACATGGTCATAGAATAATTAAATAAATTATAAAGACATGACAAAACAATTTATATCTTTTTTAAGATTGATTTGAATTGCTGCAATTTGACAGCTTATATATAACTAGAAATTTAAAATATTAGAAATTTGATAGTAAGCTCATAAAAACGTCATATTTTTTATATTTATTTTGCATGATTGATGATGATCTAATGATTATTGATTTATTGAGTAATTACATAAAAAAATTTCAATTTTGAAGCTTATTTAATAATTTAATTAGTATACTTAATCATAGAGTAATTAGATAAATCATAAAGACATGACAAAACATCTAAAAATTGTAAAATCTGTTTTATGATACTTTTTTTTTGTTTCAATTTGACAGCTTATAAAAGGAAAATGACAAATATCGTAAATTTGACAGTATGATCATCGAATGATCATTAAATTGTTCAGTAATTACATAAAGAAAATATCAATTTTGAAGGCATATTACAGAAGATTCATACTTACCACAAATCTTAAAATATTCTCATTGGAAAGACTACAGTTTTTTCTTTCATTTGTTTATTTAATATCGTAATTAGCATACTTGATCATGGAATAATTAGATAAAATAAGAAGTCATGACAAAAGAATAATTTCTATTGCTCCAATTTGGAAACGTTACATTTTTATGTTTAATTTGCATGATTTTTTATGATCTAATGATTAGTGAGTTATTGAGTAATTACAGAAACACTTTGAAGACTGATTACAGAAGATTAAGAATTACTAAAAATCCTAGCATACGTTCCTTGGAAAGGATACAGTTTTTAATTTCGTAATTAGCATTTTTGATTTCTATAGTAATTAGATAAGTTGTAAAGACATGTCAAAAAAAATAAAAAATCTATATCTTCATCAAAAGATGGGTGATACCCATGTATATCACTTCTTATGTAATCATACAAAATGTTGAAAGTATTACAATTTTCGAGTTAATTCCTACAAAAAAAAAAAAATATTAGTGATAAAAAAATAATTAATTTAATTTAAATTTTCATATTTCATCAGATGTACCTTTCACGATATAAATTATGTCTTTTTTTTATAAATTTATATCTTTTATAAAGCTCATAAACAAATTATATAATGTAATAATAACGTTGTAAAGTATGCAACTCAATATACACCATCCAAACTTAATATTTAATTATGTTCATTTTTGTGTGTGTTTTAGGTGGACATGGGACACTCTTAGGTGTAATAAACTCCTTCATTCACATAATCATGTACATGTATTACCTAATAACGTCGATGGGACCGCAATATCAGAAATACCTTTGGTGGAAAAAATATTTAACAGCTATGCAAATGGTAAATAAATTACAAAAAAAAAACTTATTTTATACACTTTATTATTAACAAAAATCCAAATTTTAGGTCCAATTTTGCATCATCGCCGTCCACAACATCCAGGTTTTATTCAGAACGTGCGATTATCCAAAATGCATAAATTTCCTCCTCGGTTTTCAAGCAATCTACTTCTTCTACCTGTTCGGAAGTTTCTACGTGAAAACCTATATTCTACCTAAGAAAGTGAAAGAGTCATCGAACGGAAAAATAAAAAGCAATTAGCAAACCAATATTTTTCTTTTGCTCAACATAATGTATATATATATATTATAATTTCTTTATTAGACGATGAAGAGAGCTCAAATTAGCACATTCCGAATATTTTCTTGACGTTTTAAATTAAGAAACGAAAAAAAAATCAAATAAATACATAACTTTATATAAATTTACGGTACCTCAGCGCAATTTTGCGCATATTTATTGTAAATAAAAACGGTTGTAGACATTTTTTCTACCTTATATTAATTATATTAATTTCTTTTATTTTCTCTACTTGTTTTCACATTCCCAAAGTTATTGTAATCACAATATATTGCTGATTATAACGGTCATTGCCACAACTAATCATATTTTCATATAAATATGCAAGAGTATTACATTTAATTATAGTAATTTTCAATTAATAAATTATAATGATCATAGCCAGAACTTATACATTTTTTTTTAATTTGGAGTTTGATACAATAATTATATTTTCATATAAATGCAGATAATTATAGTAATAATAATAATTAAAATTAATTATAGTAATTTTTAATTAATAAATTATAATGATCATAGCTACAACTTTTTATACGTTTGTATAGATTCAAATATTTTTATACATTTTTTTAATTTGGAGTTTGATACAATAATTATATTTTTATATAAATAGGCAAAAGTAGTAAATTTAATTATAGTAATTTTCAAATAAATTACATCCAAAATATAGTTACATTACATACAAACTTTTTAATGAAATTTATTTTTTTCCATTAACAGAAATTTTTGTTTTTTTTAATTGAATTTTTTTAGGATTTCATTTTTAAATAAATAAAATTGAAAAATCTCGAGTTTAGAAATTTAAGCTATAAATGTATTAATTAGAAAATTGATATTAATTTCCTCTAACTTCTATAAAATCATAGAAAAACTGATTTAAAAACAAATAGTTTTACAGTATTTCAATTTTTTTATTTTTATGAATATTTTAAAATTTATGAATATTTCAGTATTCATCAAAATTAGAACTATATATATACAAACTTATAAAAAATACTATAAATAATCAACAAAATCAAATTATTAGCTCATTCCTTTCTTATTTTTATATTTAAGATCTTAAAAAAGAAACGACTAAAATCCTTACAAATCTGTTCAATTTTTCAATAATTTATGAATATTTTTTTAGTATTCATTAAAATTAGAACTATATAATCACATATCTATTAAAAATACTATAAATAATCAACAAAATCAAATTATTAGCTAATTCCTTTCTTATTTTTATATTTAAGATCTTAAAAAAGAAACAACTAAAATTTATACAAGTTTGTTCAATTTTTCAATAATTTATAAATATTTTTTCAGTATTAATCAAAATTAGAACTATATAATCACAAATCTATTAAAAATAACACAAACAATCAACAAAATCAAATTATTAGCTAATTCCTTTCTTATTTGTATGTTTAAGATCTTAAAAAAGAAACGACTAAAATACATATAAATATGTTCAATTTTTCAATAATTTATGAATATTTTTGTTAGTATTCCTCAAAACTAAATCTTTATAAATAAAAATTTATTAAAAATAACATAAAAAATCAATAAAACCAAATTATTAGTTAATTCCTTTCTTATTCTTAGTTTGATCGTTTTTTACTGAAATTATAAACCCAAATTATTTATTCTTTTTTTGATTAAAACTTAATAATGAAGAAAATTTGACCTTTTATCAAGAAAAATTTTAAGTCATCACATCACTTCCCAAATATGTGTTATATTTACCAAATATCTAAATTGTTAAAGTGGACATTGTTATATGAATTGTTATAATTGAAATGTTAAATTTTAGAAGATAATTTAAACTTTACCCACAACATTTGACAATACTTTATGACCAAACGACAACAATCCAATCCAATTTAGATATTTGGTAAAGATATATTTCATTCAGATGGTGAACAAATGATGGTAGAGGTGCAGGAACGTCGTTTGCTTCTTCAGCACAAAGGAAACCTAAAACACAATAGCTAAAAGTACACAAAACCAGTTGGTCTTAGGGTGTTGAAGGATTCATCTCTTCATTTGGTCATGAAATATTGTCAAATGTTGTGGGTAAAGTTTAAATCATCTTCTAAAATTTAACATTTCAATTATAACAATACATATAACAGTCCAATGCAATTTAACAATTTAGATATTTGGTAAAGATATATTTCATTTAGATGGTGAAGAAATGATGGTAGAGTTGCAAGAACGTCGTTTGCTTCTTCAGCACGAAGGAAACATAGAACGTAATAGCTAAAACTACACAAAACTAGTTGGTCTTACGGTGTTGAAGGATTCATCTCTTCATTTGGTCATGAAATATTGTCAAATGTTGTGGGTAAATTTTAAATCATCTTCTAAAATTTAACATTTTAATTATAACAATATAACTATATTTGGTAAAGATATATTTCTTTTAGATGGTGAAGAAATGATGGTTGAGGTAGAATAACGTCGTTTGTTTCTTCATCACGAAGGAAACCTAAAACGCAATAGCTAAAACTACACAAAACTAGTTGGTCTTACGGTGTTGAAGGATTCATCTCTTCATTTGGTCATGAAATATTGTCAAATGTTGTGGGTAAAGTTTAAATCATCTTCTAAAATTTAACATTTCAATTATAACAATACACATAACAATCCAATGCAATTTAACAATTTAGATATTTGGTAAAGATATATTTCATTTAGATGGTGAAGAAATGATGGTAGAGGTGCAGGAAAGTTTGCTTCTTCAGCACGAAGTAAACCTAAAACGCAATAGCTAAAATATATCTTTACCAAATATCTAAATTGGATTGGATTGTTATATATATTGCTTTAATTTTAGGAGATGATTTAACTTTACCTACATTATTTGACAATAATTAGGACCAAATATAGAGATTAATTCTTCAACACCGTAAGATAAACTGGTTTTATGTTTTCTTTGTGCTGAAGACATTCTTGCACATTTACCATCATTTCGTCTGAATTAAAAATATCTTTACGTAACATCTAGATTATTAAATTGGATTTAATTTGAATCTGTTTTTTTAACAGCATTAATTTATGGCGTAGTTTATAAAAATGTGTGAAAGTTGTGCAAAACTGCCATTCAACAATTAATATACCACTCGAGCGGATATACAGCAATAGAATAAGAATGGCGTTGCTTGTAAAGTCTACGATAGATTTATTTCAAAAAATGAATAAAAATGCAGGTAAATTATAACTTAATTTAAAATGTTAATTATACTATAATCTGTCTTTCAGATCCAAGAACTATTGATTTACCGTTGATCAAATCCCCGGTTCCCACATTATTTCTGACCGTTCTTTATTTACTCTTCGTTCTGGAAGTTGGCGTGTCGTGGATGAAGGACAAAAAACCGTACAAACTGAGTACGGTTTTAAAAATTTATAACATCGTTCAAGTTTGCCTTTCCAGTTACATTTTCATCAAAGTAAATAATAATAGTTAAATTGTTTTTGTTTTTGTAATAGTATTATTGATTTAAGTGTTTTCCGGGTATTCTGAAATTGAATTTGTATTGTGGGAATCTGGATTACGGCTGTCGCTCTGAAGATGATCTGAACTTCATCCACTTGACTTGGCTGTACTTCATGAACAAATTTATTGATCTTTTTGATACAGTAAGACCAAAATGTTGTTGTTGTTGTTGTGTAGTTAATTGTAAGAAACTTCTTAGGTTTTCTTCGTGCTGAGGAAGAAGGAGAAGCAAAAAACGTTTTTGCACATTTATCATCATTTCTTTGCCGTCTGGATGGGATACATCTCTATCAAGTATTTAGCCGGTGGCACCACCATGTTCTTGATTTGCGCCAACTCCTTCGTCCACTTCCTCATGTACAGTTACTACTTCTTCTCCGTGCAAATGAAGATCGAAAGCACGAAGTTCAAGAAATTTATTACGCACCTGCAAATGGTAACTAAACGCGTACAAAGACAATTAAAACGATTGTCATTTTATTGAAATAATTTATTTTTTCTACGACAAAAAAAAATAAAATGCAAAGCGCTTATGGAATGATTCTATATTGTTTCCAGATCCAATTCGTTTTCTTGGCCATTGTTTTCGCTTCGACCTTGATGACGAACGGCTGCAATTATCCGAAGATTCCTAGTTTATTGATGACACTTCAACTGCTCACCATGATTGTAATGTTTAGTGATTTTTACAGAAGAAATTATATCAATTAACTTCAATAATAACATTACTTGCATATTTAGATTGAATTACACTTAATTTAACTGTTAACAATTTTCAATGATTGATGTATTTTAATATTCATTGAGTTGTTTAATTATATGTTATATATTCTCCTATTCGCGAAGCATGCGGTGGAAAAAAAAAGGTTAAAGGTTGGAGCGCCGATGTATTTTTAGGAAGTGCGCAATTTAATTAACATTCAAAAATAAATCCATGCATAAAATATCGCCTGATTTGTTTTTTTTTTTGTTTCAAATTACTTTTGTTGGTTAATGAAAACTGAAGAATAATTGTTTTATTGAACTGTGATTTGGAGCGTTCAACGAAATATATATATATATATGTATTGACAAGGTCGTTTCGATTGTTCTTTTGTTTCAAATTTAGTTAGAGACGACCAGTAAGTGTGTAGAACTTATGTTTCTGAAAATAATTGCAAAATTGTGTGCATAATTACTTTATTATGTACGCAATAATGTGACTTGCAATTTGAGGTCGGCGAAGAAGGAATGTGCGATTTCACTGCATTTATACTATAGTATATAAACTACCCGACTCGCAAGCGGGTCAATACTGATTTGTCTTGAGAAGGATTTAGTAAATACGAGCAAGATCAGAATTGTACAGTGTAGAGTACGGAGTGTCAATATTATTCAACGGCAAGGACAGTCTACATAAATATAAAAAATCGTAATTGAAATTGATCATATTCAACTGAAAATCCATACAAGTCGGTGGTTATCATGGCGCTGCTCCTGAAAAGTGCTGTAGACTCTCTGCGCTACGTCTTGATCGAGATGAAAGGTAAGAGTAGCAAAGATGCTTCACCACAAGTGTTGCTTCATTCTGAACGTTTCGCAGATCCGAAAACGTCGAAATATATTTTAACGAATTCGCCGATTCCCACCGTCTTCATAGTTGTGATGTACTTGTTGTTCGTATTGGAGTTAGGACCGAAGTATATGGCCAAGAGGAAACCGATGCAAATAGATAGGATAGTGCAGATCTACAATTTGGTGCAGGTTTTCTTATGCTTGTTTATAGCGTACGGGGTTTGTACTTAGATCAAATAGCTAAACGAAAAACTTATTTTTTTTTTGTATTTCTTTCGCAGGCGATAGATCTTATATTGAGTTTCGATATGCTGTGTCAACCGATCAGTTACGAGGACACCGTTACCAGTCATAGGGAATTCGATATGTGCTATTACTATTGGGTCATCAAATTTTTAGATATGTTCGACACGGTTCGAAATCTGAATAGTTTTGCGTAAAACTTTATTGAAACAATCACGGTTTCAGGTATTCTTCGTGCTGAGGAAGAAAAACAATCAAGTCACATTCCTTCACGTGTATCATCACGTGATGATGGTAGGTAGCGGATGGATTTACACGACTAACTTTGCAGGTGGCCACGTAATGTTGGTCGGCTTTCTGAACACTTTAATTCACATCTTGATGTACTCGTACTATTTCTTGACTTCGGCTAAGATTTTGGACAGGAACAGCAGTGTGAAGAAGTACATGACTATACTGCAATTAGTAAGAACACTATAAACTTATAAAATATATTATTTTTAATAATAATAAATCCGCAGATTCAGTTCGTGTTCATCTTCGTCTCGTTCAACATCGCCTTCTACATCGGATGTTACAATAGGATAGCCATATTCTTCGTCATCCTTCAATCCATCATGATGATAGTGCTCTTCTCGAACTTTTACTACAAATGTTACATTGCTCCATCAAAAAAGACCCAATAAAGAATACTTGTTAATATCGCACCCATTGTCATTATGTTTATATACGAAAACAAAACAATAGAAGATATGATACCACGAAATGTTTAAAAACAATAAGGCCAATGATATGCGTATTACGTAGGGAACAAAAAAAAAACTATATACTTCCTCGTTCGATCTATAATATAGTCGACGTTTGGACGCGGCTCATTGTGTTTCCGCGGCTCAATAAAAACGGTCGAACCATCATCATGGCCCTTCTGCTCAAACGGTGCTACCTCTTCTACAATTGGGCAATGCACGATGTTTCAGGTAACTTGCAAATAAAATTACTCTTCCAACAACAACAAAAAAAAATGTTAATTTTAGATACTCGGACGAATGATCTTCCTTTAGTCAAATCGATATTTTACCCATTGACGATTATAGGAATCTACATATATTTCGTGCTGCACTTCGGGCCGCGGTTAATGAAAAACAGGAAACCGTTCGATCTGAATAAACTGTTGATTGTATACAATGCGCTGCAAGTGGCGTATTGCACAATCATCGTTTACGAGGTACTACGAAATTTACTACTCTTTTTTTTTACGTTCTCTTTGTAAATGATCCGAAACGTTTCGCAGGCCTCGAGGACTGTGCTCTTCAAATACGATTGGAGATGCGCCCCAGTCGATTATGCCAACACGAAAGAAGCGAAATACGTGACGCGACTGGTTTGGTCGTATTACATGATCAAGATCGCCGATCTCCTAGACACGGTGATGATGACAATTATATCTAATTTCGCAACAACTATAGGTTTTTTTTTGTAGGTTTTCTTCGTGCTACGCAAGAAATCGAATCAGGTGACTTTCTTGCACGTTTACCACCATGCCGGGATGGTCATGATGACGTGGGGAGCGACCAAGTTCTTCCCAGGTGGTCACTGCATCTACCTAGGTGTAATAAACTGCTTCGTTCACGCCGTCATGTACATCTACTACCTACTCACAGCCTACGACAGCGAGTACAAAAACAGCATCTGGTGGAAGAAGCACATCACACAATTGCAATTAGTAACAATCACCTTAAAAACTCTTAATTTCTTAATTAATTACACATCATTTTCAGATGCAATTCACTTTCTTCTCGTTAATATACGGCCAAATCTTATTCAGACCAGACTGCCAATTCCCCAGATGGACGCAGATCGTTTTCCTACCTCAAAACGCGTTCATGATGATGCTCTTCGGCGATTTCTATTACAAGACGTACATCAAGACGAAGCCAGCAATAATTGCAGAATAGTTCCACCGAAGAGTTTCGCTACATTAATTTATAATAAATTATATAACATGTTTGCGTTTAATTTTCAATTTTTTTTTTCCAAATGCCAAAGACACACTAAAAATTATGAAAATAAACTTTTTCACTGACTTCAATAACGATGATTTAGTGTAAATGTATGCTATTGTATTTAAAATACGCTTTGTTAGAAAAAACTTCCTAGGTAGTAAAATACATTTTATCATAATTGAAAAAAAAAAAACACGAATATTATAAATAATTCATTTTAATTTAGATGAATTTTAAATTATATTCATTGTAATTTCTATATTTGTTGGTTAGTTTATTTTCTATAATGAAACGGATTTACGTCATTTAATAATGTAGAAAATAGGTTAAAGAAACTAAGAGCAAGATTACTTTTCTTATTTTCTTCGATTTATCTCAATTAAAAGCGTTTCGTGCAAAGAAAACGTATATTTGATGAGTGAATCAATCAAGCAGTATTTTTTATTAATTAATAGTAAGTATTGTACAAAATATTCATAAAATTTTGGTCAAAAAATTTTTTTAATATCAGTGTCAAATCATTATAATTTTGATTATTTTTACATCACAATCTTGATTTTCTCAACTGTAAATTTATTATATTTACAAATATTTAAATTCAAATACTGGCAGTATTCAATACTTATGTTACGTAAAGTTAAATAATTAAATGTCAATGTCAAATCATGTTTTGTTATTTTCTTTGACGTTATCAATTTATTATATTTCTAAATAATTTAATTCAAATACTTACATTGATTGCATTAATCCACTCAACACTTATATTACGTAATGATATTTAATTATAAATATTTAACATTTATTCGAAAAATGTTTAAAAAAAATCAATAAAAATTTTGAGAAAACAATATAAAATTAATAAAATAGGTGGTGTTGCTTAAATTGGACCACTAAACATCTTAGGTGATATTTAATTATAAATAACTACACGGACTCTTCATTTGAACTACTTCTTCATCTACTTCCTTTCTTTTATTTGATTTGAACTACTTATATATTAAGAAAATAATTTATTGAGGTTATTAAAAAAAACATATGGTATTGTCAGATATCATACAGTGTTGTCAAATTTGGACAATGCGTCAATCGGTCCAATCAAAGCAACTTGTTTCTCTAGGATAGAACAATTGAGTTTAATTTAAGCACTATTCCTTAGATTCACGATTCAATTTGATCTTTATTAAATTTAATATGTTTTAATACTTTATCTTACAACTTTCATCTCGATTTTCACTTCAATTCGAAATTATTACTTGTGGTCCGACGGTAGGCAACTTTACAGCAAATATTTGAAAGCAATTCATGTAAAACCAATTTTCAACTAAATTATTGAACTACTAACAAATTTACTCTTATTATCATTATTTCACTTTCTAATTGATGTCAGACAATAATTGTTCTGCCTACTAGTGACTCTATTATAAAAGTTATTACATTAGTCAAGTTTATGTCTTCTTTTTAACAAACTTACGACTTTGGTCGGTCCAATCAAAGCAACTTGTTTCTTTAACTTTAATTTAAGCATAGATTCTTCCTTAATTTTATTCACATAAAATAATAAATTGTAATTTATCGAATTACTAACGAATTTAGTAATTATTTCACTGTCTAACTGCCCTGGGACAATAATTGTTAACTAATTCTGCCTACTAGATACTCTATTATAAAAGTGATGCAAGTTTCTGACTTATTGGTAACGAAATAACGGTCCAACCTACAAATCGCTCCAAATTAGGTAACGTTCCCTTATAAAACCACTAAGATTCGACTTAGAAATTCGATTACATTCGACCACTTAAACATATTATGTACTGATCTTTAATTATAAATAACTACTATTCATTTGAAATATTTCTTCGTATTCATTCTTTCTTTTGATTTGAACTACTTATATATATAAAAAAAATAATACAATTTTTTGAGATTATTAAAAAACATGCTCCAATTTGGAACAATTAAACATATATTTTAATTTGAAAATATAATATGCGTCAATCGGTCTATTCAAAGCAACTTGTTTCTCTAGGATAGACCAATTGAGTTTAATTTAAGCATTCTTCCTTAGTTTCATTAAATATGATTCAATTTGATCTGTGTTAAATTTAATAATTTTCTGACAACTTCCATATCGATTTTCACTTCAATTCGAAATTATTACTTGTGGTCTGACGTTAGGCAACTTTACAGCAAATATTTGAAAGCAATTCATGTAAAACCAATGTTCAACTAAATTATTGAACTACTAACAAACTTACTCTTATTGTCATTATTTCACTTTCTAATTGCTGTGAGACAATAATTGTTCTGCCTACCAGTGACTCTATTATCAAAGTTATTATATCAGTCAAGTTTATGACTTCTTTTTAACAAAATTACGACTATGGTCGGTCCAATCACAGCAACTTGTTTCATTAACTTTAATTTAAGCATAGATTATTCCTTAATTTTATTCATATAAAATAATATATTTTAATTTTTCGAATCACTAACGAATTTAGTAATTATTTCTCTGTATAACTGCCCTGGGATAATAATTGTTAACTAATTCTTCTTACTAGATACTCTATTATAAAAGTTATTGCATCAGTCAAGTTTATGCCTATTTATGTTCCCTTATAAAACCACTATGATTCGACTTAGAAATTCGATTACATTGGACTCTTCATTTTGAAATATTTCTTCGTATTCTTCCTTTCTTTTGATTTGAACTACTTATATATAAAAATAATAATACAATTTTCTGAGATTATTAAAAAACGTGCTCCAATTTGGAACAATTAAACATATATTTTAATTTGAAACTATAATATGCTTCAATCGGTCTCAAAGCAACTTGGTCTCTAAGATGGACTAATTAACTAGTTTCATATTTAGTCTTATTAAATACAATTTAATTTGATCTTTCTTAAAAGAGACAAAAACTTATTTATTCAATATTTTGTCTTCTGTCTACATATAATTTTATGCCTTATTGGTAACAAAATTACAATATTGGTCCAACCTAGGCAACGGTCCAAATTAGGCAACTATCCACTATAACGATGTTAAGATTCGACTCAGAAATGCTGTATAACAAACCAAGATCAAGAGCACTTTCTTTATATATCTCACATGCATCTCAATTACGAGTGTACCGTGCGAAGAAATCGTTTATTGTGTGCAAGTATACGAGTGAAATGGCAAATGTTCTCGATAAAAATGAAACGAACAAGGATTTCGAGACAATGCCGGCAAATAACTTTCGTTGTTGCATTCGAGGCGTTGCCGATTAAACGGGCACTGCTACATGTAGAAAACGGTGCCTCCTGTGCCTTCGGGCCTGTTACATAGAGGTTAACCTGTTTCGCGTCTGCAGAAAGAAAGTGCAACATGAACTCCGGCTTCTCCGGTGAATCCCACTATAACAAATTCGCAATATCAATCATTTCTTCATCTAACTTTGTTACTTTTTTCCATGCAGTTTTCTTATAATTAACTCCGCTGAAATAATGAATTGGCCATCAGGTGTCAATTTTTGGCGACAGCAGGCGTATGAAAATCTGTTTTTAATAAAGTTTCGTTGAAAATGTTCTATGGAGATGTGGGTTTCTGGGTCATCCGTCGTCTGCCGTTAAAATTCAACCATCAACGATGTACAGCAATTGCCGTTTCCTTTTTCCTTCGACTCATTGCCCCTTCGACGAAGTTCCAAAGCTTCTTGCGTACAGGATGCAACGGTTTCATCTTCTTAGTCTCTTCGTATTGAGACTGTTCATTTTTTTTTATTTTCGTATTCCGTATTAGAAATTCGACATCGTAATTGCACATTATCTTCGAGTCTCTTCATTGGACTCTCATGCGTGCCCATGGAAACGAAAACAAAAAGATTGCTTGCTTTTATTATTACCCGCTTAAGACCAAGAGAAAATGTAATTCGTATGCATCGAGACATATGTTCTTTTCACAGTCTGTGATTCAACATTAATTAGCTTAGTGATTTACAACTGGGTATTAATTAGAAGATTTAGTTTCTATACGTTCAATGAAAAACGGTTTTCGTATTCATAAGATCAGTACAAAAAAACAAAACAATTTGCAAAACGAAAAAATCCCTTGCAGGCCAATCTCGAAAGTTTTGACCTTAAACAACTTTAAAATTAATATCTGCTTCCTACGAATAACGGCACAAATGATTTACTCATAATAACAAATTATTAAAGTATTAAATCAATTTTTAGCGTATTCGTTTCATTTAAATATCTTTAATTCATAATTTTTTAAAGAGATTTTGACATAATTTATCATATAATACATAATATTGAATATTTATTAATACAATATTATGTATAAAAGAAACTTAAATTTTTAACAATAAATAAATTAACAACAATATTTCTTTTCTTTATTTCATAATTTTTCAAAGAAATGTCTACACAATTAACTAAATAATTAATAATATTAAACATTGATCAATATGTACAAAACACTTAAATTTTCGTCGTATTAATTTCATTCAAATATTACTTTTTTTAATTATTTTTTTTTTGTAAAGGAATTTCTACATAAATTACAAAATAATTCATAATATTAAACATTGATATTAATTTCATACCAAATATTAAACAATAAATAATTTAACAACATTTATTTTCTTTGATTCATCATCTTTCAAAGAAATTTTGACATAATTTACTAAATAATTTATAAAAATACAAAATTATGTACAAAAAACTTAAATTGTTATCGTGTCAATTTCATTATAAATATTGAACAATAAATAATTTAACAAAAATATTTCTTTTTTTTTTATTTCATAATTTTTCAAAGAAATATCTACTAAACAATTCAATATGAATAATTCATAATATTGAAAATTGATATGTACAAAAAAACTTAAATTGTCAGCGTATTAATTCCATTCAAAAATTGAACAATCAATAATTTAACAACACTATTTCTATTCTTTAATTTATAATTGTTCAAAGGGATTTCGACATAATTTACCAATCAATTCATTATTTTGAACAATATTCA